GGTATCTGATTAGACTAGTGATAGTCGGTTATACTCGGATCCTTAGTACCTGAGTATGGATATAAAGTGATCAGGTAGATTTCACTGATAATGTTTATCACCTCTACTATTTAACATGAAGTACATTTTTATGCTTTCTCCTCAAATATGTCTTTTTTAAAAGTTTGTTGGGGTTTTTTTTTTGTGTGTGTATATCATACAGAAGAACATCCCACACATATATTCATCTGTATACCCACTTCCCAAATGGCACCCTCCCATAGAGGGATCTATTTTACAAAGCAGAGATTCCAAGCATGAGGCAGAGAAGCAGACTGTGGGGGCAGCAGCAGAGCTCTGAAAACGCTTATCTGTTCAAGCATGGAGTGGATTAAGTTGCTTGTGACACAGGAAGTTACTATAGTGTGTAGGTTAGTTCTCTTGCTAGCCTGCTCAGAATATTGGATCAACAAATTAGAAGTCAGATGCTGTCTAGGCTATGAGGTCTAGCCGATAGGTCATACCTGCTGGAATCCAGCGGCACAGAGTCTCAACTCTTGCCTAGCTGATGTGATCTTGGTCTTGTACATAGTGGAGATAGGTAGTCCATTGTTACTTAAGGGTTGAGGTATTACATACAAATTATCCAAGTCAGTGTTTGTTTATGCAGTATCTTAATAACTATCCATTCCTTTAAAAGATTGGTCCCCCCACTTTTAATTTTGACAAATTTTAAACTTATGGAAAAGTTGCAAAATAATGGAACATTCTAGATCCTTAATTTAGATTAACCAATTACTATTCTTCTACCTTTGCATTCTCTTTTTTCCCTCCCTCTGCTCATTGCAGACATCACTACACAGCACCCTAAGCACTTTGGCATGAGTCTCTTTGTTAGGATATTCTACAAAATCAAAATACCACAACATAATATAAAGTTGTTTTTCAATTTTCCTTAATTATTGTGTGTGTGTGTGTGTAAATATAACAATATTTAAACATTGAGAGTCCATTGCATTTACTAAGTACGTCTTTAGCCTCCATTTATTTAGAAGACTTCCCCCACCATTTTCACCTTAGTTTGTCATTAGGAGTTTTGAAGAGATTGGGTTTCTTGTTTTGCGTGATGTCATTTACCTTAATTTTGTCTTATTGACTCCTCTTGATGAGATCTGGGTTAATGATTGTAGATAGGAGTGCTTTAGATGGAGTTGTTTGTTCTCGGTGACGTGGTCCCAGAGGCCCATGATCCCGCTTTGTCCCATCAATGGTGATAACAGATACATATTTTTGGTTAAACTGATATTTGCAAGATTTCTAGATTGCAATGGTACCTTTTGTTTTGTAATTAATAAGACATCTGTGGGAGGATAGCTTGAGTCCAAGTAGTCTGTTTTCCAGTGATCTGTCATTTAGTGTTTTTAGTGTTGATGGTTCTTATCTGAATCATTTATTATAACAAAAGTTATAGAATGATGACTTCTATTGTTCTTTTACACTTATTAATTGGATTTCTTTTCTCAAGGAGAGATCCTTCCCTTCCCTTCCCCTTCTGCTTCCCTTCCATCTAGGCCTATCCTGTCCCCATCCCCAGGTCCCTCCTCTCTTCCCTTTGATTTGGAGTTATCAAGTCTTTCTTTTGTCATTGTTTATGTCCCGTGAATATTCATTTTGATGCTTAATTTGTCCTAAATATGGCTAGTGGAAATGACCTAATTTTTGTGGATTGGTATGCTTGTAGCCAGATAAGCTCTCTCTAGTTTTTAGCACTATAATCTGCCTTGGACACTGTGGGACGTAATACAGGTCTCATCTGTCAGGTACTCTGCCTTTTGTTATTTTTAAAAAATGTTTTCACATTTATTTATTTTATGTGTATGAGTGTTTTGCCTGCATGTATGTAAGTACATCACGTACATCCAATATCTGCAGAAGCAAGGAGAGGGCGTCAGATTCCCCCAGAACTGGAGTTATGGACAGTTGTTAGCCACCATGTAGGTGCTGGGAACCAAACCCAGGTCCTCTGCACAAGCAGCCAGTGTTGTTAACTACTGAGCCATCTCTCCAGCCCCCTTTACTTTAAATAACTGTGCTATGCTTAATTTCCAGCAAATCACTGAACTGAAGAAAGAAAACTTTAACCTGAAGCTCCGCATCTATTTCCTTGAGGAGAGAATGCAGCAGGAGTTCGATGGCCCCACTGAGCACATCTACAAAACTGTGAGTGGCTGCTTCCTGCTGCTGTCCCTTTCGTCTTTGCTCATAGTCTTTTCAAGAAGATAATTGAGAGTTACCGTGACTAGCTGGAGCTGTCATTTAATTTGGATTGATTATGGAGAGCAAAGTTGTACCAGGATGGCCCTCCTTAAACAGAGCTGTGTGATTTTAAGGAATCTTTTAGTCTTTTTTTTTTTTTTTTTTGTCTTTTTGAGACAGGGTCTCCCTGTAGCCCCAGCTGGTCTGGAACTCACTATGTAGACCAGGCTGGCCTTGAACTCACAGAGATTTACCTGCCTCTGCCTCCTGAGTGCTGGGACTAAAGGTGTGTACCACCATGCCCGGACTTCTTTTAATCTTTTTAATCAGAGCTCCGATTCACTGTCTTTGTCTCAGTTGCTTTTTTATAATCATTTATATTTTGAAGTGGGCAGTGGAGTGGTAGAATGGCTTTGAATGGAACGTTAGTATTTCCAACCAGTGGAGTAACTTTGGGCCAGTCACTTTCATGCTCTGGGCCTGCTTCTGCAGTTGAGTGATAGCCCTGTTTCTGGACTTGTTTGGGTGAAAATGAGGTGACAGGTATAAATGTGGAGTGATAGGTGAAAGCTCCAAAAAGCAGCTGGTGCTGGGCAGTTACCATCATTGGCTTAGGAGCACCTCTTTGGCTGCTCAGAGTTAGGCTGGTCAGATATTTCTGTAATTTGACTCTTACATTCCTGTGTGCTTGCTTAGAACTGCCAAGAAAAAAGTCTATTTCCATTTGAAGTCTTAACCTGGAGGCCTTTCTGAAAACAAACCTTGGTTCTGAAAGTTGAAAAAAGAATTTGGCTTTCTTGAGAAGCCGTGAGTAAGAAACACTATTTCTGTGCCCATTTTTTAGCTTTCTTCTGTAGATTAGCCCTTGGCCTGGGAATTATTCTGTCTTTCCTTCTCTGAAGTTTGTACTAGGAAACTTTGCAAGGAGGAAAAAGAACTCTCATCGAGTTTCAGCAGAGGAACTTGAATAGACTTTTCTTGAAGAGTCCTTTCAATAACTGAAAAGCTCCCTTGTTCCCGAAGGCACAGTTTCTTCCTTCCATGTGGGGGTGGAAGACAAAGAGGACATCCCCTTTCTGAGGGAGCAGTGGGTGAGGCAATCAGAATTTCAGGAGCCAGTAGTAAAGTGCAGTGTCTGTGTGGTGGCCATGCCTCTCAGGGCTGTGAGTGGCAAGGAGCAAACTGCTGCCCACTGGCTCAGGTGCTTTTTTGGGCTCTTGCACATTGGTCATCTGAATGTACCTCTCAGACAGCCCCAGGCAGTGGAGAGCATCCTCCTCCTATGGGCAGGAAACTGAAACTCAAGGACAATCAGTAGCTTGCTTGATGTGGAGAGATGAGGCAGGCAACCAGGCTTTGGTGTATGTGTGGAGCCTCCTGTTCTTTTCCACTGTGGATGGCCAGATTACTTGTCCCTCTAAGTATACTTAGTTCTGGTTCGGGTAGTATACTTAGTTCTGGTTCAGAATGCAAAACACACAATATGTATCCTAAGAAGACATTCTGCTCTAACCCCTGGGTCCCCAGATCTAACGTATCAGTGATGCCTTATGCAGAGGAATTTTATGTAAACATGTGCATGTGAATTCCCTTTTTGCATAAGTGCAAACATGTTCTGTTCTACATCTTGTGTTTTCCATTTAGTGATTTCTTGACTATTCTTTCGAATAGTTTAAGAGCTGCTTTATTTTTTTATAGCTTCATAAATAGCCCATTTTATGCTTTGAAGGCATTGTGACTTTTGTTTTGGAAATGACTATCACCATACACATAGGTTTATGACTTAAGATATTGTGCATGAGGAAAGCAGTGTAATGGATGTGCTAGCTAGTCACTTTAAGGCTGGACTGGTGCTTTTGAAACATGTTGTCAGCCTTGGTCAGAGCTGCTGGGGGGACCTGAGGTTTGCAAGGTGTTTCTGAAGTTTTCATAGAGCCACACTTGAAGAGACTGCACTGCTACTCAGGGTCCTGTCCTTTATGCCAAGAACATTTTATTCTATAAAAAAAAAAACGCTCTGCCTCTAGATGCCCCCTTCAGTTCCTGTTGTTTGACAGTGAAGAGAGCAACATGGGCTTTTTAAATTTGCCAGCTTACTTAATCTCCATCCCCCTATCATGCGGACCTTCTGCTTTTCCTTTGACTCTTGCGAGATCTGAAAGGATCCGCCCTACTTTCTCACATCCTGGATAGGTCTTTAAGGACTGCATAGGGTCACACTGCCAGGCTGGTGTGTTCCCATGCAGGCAGAGCCTGGATCTGTCTTGTTGACTCCAGTGTCCTCTCAGTGCTAGGCCTGTCATAGGTGCTTGGTAAGTATCTATGAAGAGGTGAATGAAGGAGTGTCCACTGACTTTCTGTCTCCTCCTGGGAAGGAGCCTGTGCCCTTCAGGTTCCACATACATGATCGGTGGTGGGGGCTATACCCTTGACCTGGGGCTGTTCCTCCCTCTAGGGCTACTCAGCAGGAAGGAAGTATGTCCTCTGGATTGCAAATTTTATGAAAGTGAAATTTTTATTAAAAAAACATGTTTTAAGGAGTAAAATATAAAATTGGCATGAATTATCAAAGTAAGCCGAGAGAATTCAGAGAAATCATGATTTGGTAGCAATCCTACAGGCTGCACGCCGACCCTGTCGCCACAATGCATTCTTGAAGCATCCTGCCTGGGCTACATGTGTGGGTAAGTCAGACACCCGCTGCTGCTCTGCTGCCTCCCACTGGGTGCCATCTGCTGAGCCCAAGGCTGTGTGACTCCCTTTGTTCCAGTCCTTCAAGAGAAAGATGGTTGAAGACGACTATGGCGTCCCTTAGAGACAGCTTGCCCCATGTGGCTGGGGTTTTTTTGTGTGTCCTGAAGTTTTAACTGAAACAAGACGGCTATGATGCGGCCTCCCACTTACCCATTCACAGGTTTTATTTTATCTAATTTTTTAAAGCTGTAACACGTTCTCCATGCTACAACCACATGTGTGATTGTAAACAACTAGAAGTAATTGCCTTAGCATGGGAAAAGCAAACTGTAAATTTACTTGGCGGAGGGCAAACTATTTTTAAATCAGCCTCACTTGTATGACATTTATGCCTCCATATTTGAATGCTCTGCCTGTTAGATGCATGGACCATTTACATAATTGTTCCGAGTCTTAAGAAATCCAGGGCTTTCTTTTGAGACCACCGGTATTTAATAATTTCCCCTTCTCTGTGGCTTGAGGCTAATGAGGGTTTTGAATCTAACATCTGTTCTTACAAGTGGTATAGTCAGGCTAGGTCAGAAGTTTGCCCACTGTCAGTGCTCATGGCTCCTGCTTATACTGTCTCTTCTTTCCTTTTCTTCTCTGGAAGAACATTGAGCTCAAGGTGGAAGTGGAGAGTCTGAAGCGGGAGCTCCATGAGAGAGAGCAGCTGCTTGTCAAAGCCTCGTGAGTACCTGACACCCCTTAAGAGCTTGGCCATGAGGTCCCTCCTGCAGGGTGGGTGTTGGGCTGGGCAGTGAAAAACAGCCAGCGGCTTTTCTAATCCACTTGTTTTCTGACTGGCTTCTGAGGACCCCCAAGGAGATCTTAGTTTTTATTTAATTACATTTCAACTAGTCTTTAAAGTGTAATGTAGTTAGAGAAAAATGAGCAGGACTTAAGGGTATAGCATGATGGATTTTCACCAGACAAACGTGTGTAGAGCCACCATCGTGAGCAGGAAAGGAAACAAGACCAGCTTCTAGAAAGCCCCCTTGCCTTGTGTTCTCAGAACAGTCCCTTTCCCCAGACAGCTGCTCTTCTGACACAGTTGCTTAGTTCTCCTATTTTTGAACTTCATATAAATTCTAGGCCCTTTTTTGTGCCTCTTCTTTCCCCAGAAATGTTTGTGAGATTCTCTTGCTGTTAATTGTGCCAGTATTTCATTCACTCTCATTACTGAACAAGCCTAGGGCATAGGAGGGATCCTGATGGGCCAGGCAGAGAGGCAGAGGGTGGGGCTTCAGTTAGAGTAGCATTTTCTTAAACCTGTTGTTTGTTCTAGGGTCTCTTGTAATATTTTATTTAAAAGAGATTCTAGGCTGGGCGTGGTGGCATACGCCTTTAATCCCAGCAGTTGGGAGGCAGAGGCATGTGGATCTCTGTGAGTTCAAGGCCAGCCTGGTCTACATAGTGAGTTCCAGGTCAGCTTAGGCTACAGGGATATCCTATCTCAAAAAAAAAAAAGAGCTATAGCGGGCTCAGTCCTCAGTGGTAGAGTGCTTGTCTAGCATGAGTGAGGCCCTGGGTTCATTTCTTAGAACTACCACCACTAAAAAAGGTCATGTTGTTGAAAGAACCAATCAACAGTTTGGTATAGGTACAAAGCTAGAGCTCACCATGCCCCTAGTGACTAACTGGGGCTAACAGAGCAGGTGGACCTTTTGATATGAATGGTGTCAACTGTTTTGAAAAAATTCTAATGCTTAAAAATTAGGAAACTAGTGCTTCCATTAATTAACTTACTTATTCAGATATGTATTGAACACCAAGCACAGTTCAGAGAAGACAAGCCGTGGATCCATTGGTTCATCATTCGCTCATTAATTTTTATTATGTAATTAACGGTGCCATATGCAGAGGCTCTGCAGAGACACCGACTTGCTCCCAGAGTTCCCAGAGACTGCTGAGAATGCATCACATTATGAATGAATGGAGTGTCCTGGAGGTGCAGTGGGGAAGTGGGGACACCACAGTGTGCTCGGTTTTGCCCAGGAGAGTAGAATAACCTCTACTTCCAGATACATACTTGTGCTGAAGTGTTGCACTTGCCATGTGACAGACCTCCTGATGGGTATGAAGGCGGAGGAGGGGGGGATTAGTTAGGGTCTGGTGGCAGGAAGCTGGCCTGTTGGCTTAGGGCAGACCAGAGACTTCCAGGCTGGTCTGAGTCTGCTGAACTTGTATGGCTAGTATTTTCTGAATAAGTGAAGGATTAATGACTATGACCAGACCAGCAGGTTTTCATCATTGTTATTTGTCTCTCTTTTTGGAAGTGAATTGGTCTCTGGGCACTGAAGCAAGTCTGCTTTATTAGGCTTGAGATCAGTCTCGGCTAGAATGCGTTTTTAGCTAAGCATGTACAGGTGGGAATCCTAGTTCCCAAAGTCTTGTGCATTCTTCAATATCTCCTAAGGAAGGGGTGTTTTGGGTGCTTGTATACAAGTTTGTATAGTTCCCAAACTGCCCAACTTTGCACAAATTCAAGTCCCTTTGTGATCTGACCAGCCTTATTCACTTATTCAAAAAATATTTATTAGATGGCCATTGTGTGCTGTGCTGGACACCCCTCCTGGTGATAGAGTGATGACCCAGACAAACACATGAGACTTGCATTGTGCTGGGCGTGATGGTGACAAAGTATTTGCGTAATAAATGCACAAGTACAAGTTGGGAGAGGCTCTGTAAAGAGAAATGGGGAACTGTGAGCAGTTATAGCTGTAGGCCTGTGCAGGTGGCATGAGAGGAAATCTCAGCTGTCAGCAGAATTAGGCAAGTGCTTGGATTGAGCCAGGTTGAGGATGAAGGTGTGGCAGGTCTGAGGAACTGGGGGAGAGTAGACTACTAAAGATTTTGGTCTTTGTCCTAAGATCCGATAAGCAAGGGGCACAGTTAAGAGTTTTGATTTTGGAAAGGCCTCTGTGGAGGTTGGGTGGGAAATAGACGGAAGGCTTTTGAGGATGACTACTCAGGAAGACCAGTCAGGAAGACTGACCAGTGGGTGACGTGAGCTGAGTGCTGGCATGGACAAGTAGGCCCCTGTGAAAGATATTTGGGAAGCAAAATCTACAAGCCTTGCTGATGGGTGAGAAGGGAGATGCCAAGGAGATGCCTGTCTGGGGCTAAGGTCATGGGGTCTGAGATGTTCATCCTCTTCAGCTTCCTCTCCAGCAGCTCTGTCCCCAGCGCATTGCAGGAGTTCCACAGATGTTCTTGTTCTCGGTTCTGTAGCTTTGTCTGAGTGGACCTCCTCCCTGCTGAGCCTCTCCCTGCTCAGTGACTCCCCATCTCCTCACCTTTGAAAAGAGATGGGGAATCTCCAGCTTCCTTTAGCTTACCTTGGCCTCTTCACAGACTTCTCTGGCACACGATGACGGTCACACATAGGTAGCTCTTTTCAGTGTCTGAAAACACTTTCACATCCTTGCACATATCATTATCCTCAAATCCTGAGGAATACCCTCATTTTAGACTAAGGGAATTCAGACCTGGGGAAGAGAAGGGCCGTGAGTCTTGACAGATAGCTCAGAGCTTGGGTTAGAGCTCAAGTCCCTGATTCTGTCATTCAATTCTAGTTTCCATGTTTTGTTTTTTCATCTTTCACGTGTTGACATAGGCACGTTATCCCTAAATGCCATCCAGTTTCTACCCTGTAACTGCTGAACGCTTTCTCTTTGCCCCTAATTGCCCAGTACCCAGCAGTGTGTCTGTGGTAGCTGTTGATGGAAAGTCTCATTATTGATGTGAGGCCCTCAGCACTTTTTCAGTATTGAGTTTGGGATGCGGGATGGGTGGGACACAGGATTTGTCACAGGAAAAGCACCTCCTTTTTCCCCCAGGACAACTCTAATTTTAATGGAAAGAATCTAGAGGAAATGTTGAGGGTTAAAAATGATAGCGGGGGAAGTGTTTATGGAAGGTTCTGTCACATTGGGTGGAAGGTTCTGTCACATTGGGTGGAAAGTTGGAGAGAACCATTTACCCCTGAGATAGTCTACCTTACCTGTTATTGTAGCACAGATTCTACAAGAAGAGAAATGGTGGAGGGAGGGAACTACTCTGGTCCTACTCCTGTTCTGTCCCAAGCCCCTGTGCTTGGAACAGGATGGGATGTGTTTTGTTGCCTTTGACCTTTACAACCCTGTGAGGCTGCCAGCATTCCCATTTGAGTGAAGAGAAAGCTGAGACCTGGAGGAGGAGAGAGGACAGCCTGCCTGAGTTGGTGACAGGGCTGGTTCTGGTACAGCTGGAGCCCACTCTGACCTGCTGTGAAGTAAACATCTTTGTTTGCTGGGTTTCCATTGTTCTTTTTACCAGTTACAATAAGGGGACGTTAAAAACAAAAGCAGTCATATTGTTGGGAGTAAATTTTATCTTTGTAGCTTTAAAACACAAACAAAAAATAATAATTCCATTAGCAGAGGAAAATTGCACCATACTGCTGAGTATAAATTTTATTGCTACAGTAACGGTAAAATACAAAGATGATAAATGAAAAGTTAGAACATTTATTATTGCGAATATATTTTATTGGTATAACTAAAACACAAACAAACTGAATAATGCTAGTAGTTGTTAAAAATTGTACTCAGCTTCTTGACAGTGTATGTGACTCAGGCTGTAAAATGCAAGGCTAGATCTATCAGGCTGACGGAGGGAGACCTGGGTGCAGCTGAAGGAAGGAGTGATACAGGTCATTCATTTTATGATTGGTTCCAGAAAGCCCTGGGGCTAGACCATCTGTGAGCACTCAGTTAGAAGAAATTCAGTACCAGAACAATCTGTGTTGAGGCTGGGGGCAGGAACTCAGTTGGCTCTGCAGACATGAGGACCTGAGTTTGGATCTCCAGCACCCACATAAAATCTGGGTGATGTGGCATGCATCTGTAACCCCAGTTCTTGGGCAGGTTGGAGACAGGTGGTCCCAGGGGCTTGCTGGCAAGCCAGTTTAGTAAGCTCCTGGTTCAGTGAGCTTACTAAGCTCCTGTTTGAAAAAAAATAAGGTGTAGGAGCAATAGAAGCCATCACTCAGGGTCAGTGTCTGGTCTCTGGAGGGTAAGTACCACATTTATGCAAATACCCCTGCATACACAGTACATAAAAAGGTAAAGATATGTGTCTATGGCTTGGGAAGGACGGGTCACTCTAGGATTCTTGTGGCCATCAGTAATGTCTCTGGAGGAGTGATGGAAGTGATTGTGAGTCACTGTGAATTAGAGAGTGCTGATCCCAGAAATGAGCTGAGTGAGCAGGGGCTGAGAACACTTAGGGCGGCAATCAGGAAGTGGGTTTGCCTCCGTTCTGGCCAGGGGATGAGCTATTCTGAGCTCAGAGTCTAGCGGAGGGGCAGTGGGAGGCCTCTCAGCAGCACAACAGGGCCTGAGCTGCCTGGGCCTGGCAGGGGCTGCCTGGTGGTGCGGCCTCACGCAGAGTGCTGAGATAGGGCTACGAGGACCCCGTGTGGTAAGCACATTAGTTCTAAGAGGTAATCATCTCATTTTTCACATGAGGAAACTGAGGTGTAGCAACTAATTTACTCAGGCTAGGTAATTTACCCAGAGTCACACTGGGGATGAAATAGAGGGAGAATTTAGAAGCAGATCTGTCCAGCCTCTTTCAGTTTTTCATACTGAATTCCATTAGCATGATATCACGACATGGGCCTTCTGCAGCCCTGCTGGTGAAAGGAAAACCAGATAAAAATAAGGCCTTTATTTGCAGGCGATTTCTGTGGGAGACTTGGACAACCAGCACGGCCCTCTTGATGGCACTGTTCTGGATAAATAGTTCATGTGGTTGGGGTGTGTGAGTGTCTGGTTACCCAGCTTCGAGTTAGAGTAAATTTATATACTCTGAAGTAGGATGAGGGAGGCCAGTGGTGGGGAATTGTTTTTGTTTGTCCTGGTGTTTTTTCTGAGAAGCCACTTTAGGTGGAGCCATTTCCTTGGCTATCCTTTTGGGAAGCTGCAGTCATTTAGAATCCAGTGAGGGCTGAGTCTAAGTGTTACAGCTTTTGTGTCAGTGGACATGGCCCTGTGCCATCTCTAGCCCTGATTGTCGCATAGGGAGAACATTCCAAGGTGCAATGGCAGTGTGCCCTAGTGTTTATGTTAGAGTAACACGAGGTAGGCTACTCGCGCCGTGTCCCCTTCTCAAGGCCTGGGTGGTAGCTGGTGCTTCATCCTTCTCACTGTATGTACAATGCTTTCCCTCTGGCCCACACAAGGTGAATGAAACATGCCGTCCTGTGTCGCAGATCTGGGCTTGTTGCATGCTGTTCTTTTGCCCATGGTTGCCAAGCCACCATTCCTATGCCACTGGTGGAATCACACTGTGTTGGAAGCTCCTTGGAGGGAAATTTGGCAATGGCTATCAAAGTCTTAAAAGTGTGTTTACCCCTTGACCCAGTGGTTCCCTTTCTAGGAGTGTTCTAGGGAATCACTGTGCAGTAGATGGACATGGATGTCTTTATTGGGACATTATTTATCAAATTGACCTGGTGCACTGATGTTTAGTGAATGTTTGCTTTGTACCAAATACCTGTTCTCAAATCTTTATTGGTGTTGTCGGTCAAATGTGTTATATCACAAGTAATTAAATCTTTAAAATATAGGGAACTGGTTTAATAAACTGTATGTTTCATGCAATGACAATATGTAGCCTTTAAGATGATGATACAGATTTATATTTACTGACTCTAAAGGATGTTTTCAGTGTATTAAGTAATCAGGTCCGTTCACTAACATGTAGTAAATGGCTCTATTTTTGTGGAAATGTCTGAAAGGTTGTATATTAAACTGCTGTCTTAGTTGTCCCAAGGGATAAGAATATGGATGGTTACAAAAATTACACATATTAATTTAAACAAAAAGAAACTTAGGTAAGTGGGAGAAATGACTGGCAAGCATCCCTTGTCTCTTTGGGGCTGGTGAGGTCGCCAGCAGGTCACCACTGACCCTTTCCCTCTCTCTGTAGCAAAGCAGTGGCGAGCTTAGCAGAAGGGGGTGGCTCTGAACTTCAGCGCGTGAAAGATGATGCTCAGAGAAAGGTGCAGCAGGTGGAAGACCTCCTGATGAAGAGGATACGTCTTCTGGAAGGGGCAAGTTGTAAAATCTCAAAGGTCTTCTGCTATAGAGGGTTTACTCTGGGGAGGGTACAGAACGGCAGCCATCCTCTTCTTTACTGAATATGTTCTGGGTTCCAGCCCTACTCTAGGCACTTTGCACATGTAACTTATAACCCAGCCCTACTCTAGGCACTTTGCACATGTAACTTATAACCCTTATACTGCTGGCTTTCTCCCATGAGGGCACTGAGATTCAGAGAGAAGTGTTGACTAGCCCAGGTGTGAGCTGAGGCCCACTAAGGGAATGACTGCCTAGTTCTAGGCATTTGGACCCAGATTGCCTGATGCATAGTCGTTGCCTGCCCTCCCACCTCCTGTCCTGTCTCTGGCTACTGTGCAGATACCCTGCCAGAGCTCACCGGACGTCGCTTCTCACATGAGGCCATGAACAGCTTCGTGTGCTGCTGGTCTCAGTCCAGTGTTTGCCAGTGACTAAGACTGGGGGCCGGGATGCTTCCTGGCTAGGAAGCCCTTTCTCCTGGACAGTAAAAAGCTTTCCTCTATTTGAAGCTAGTATTCGCTAGTACAGGTTGAGAATCACTTTTCTGAAATGCTTGGGACCCGAGGTGTTTTGGGTTTTTTAATTGTTATTTTTGTTATGGAACATTTGTGCATACCTAATGTAGTATCTTGGGAGTGGGACCTAAGACTAGACAACAAATTTACTCACATTTCATATATGCCTTATATACATAGTCAAAAGGTCTTTTCATGCAATGGTTTAACATATTTGTGTTTTGATTGCAACCCATCACATGAGGCCAGGTATGGAATTTTCTACGTGTGACATGTTGACACTCAGTCTCAGATGTTGGACCATTTCAGCGTTTAGATTAGGCATACCCAACATATATTAATATTAATATCAATAATTATTATTCTTATAAACAGGATCTGGCTGAGTAGCCCATGCCAACCTCAAACTTGGAATCCTCTTGCTTCAGAATTACAACTGAGCACCACCACATCCAGCTTAATCACGACACTTGTAAAGGCTGTCACCTATTGACTCAGTCTCCTTGTTTCTCTCATGAGTGCTTCCCAGTGCTTTGGGGCCAGTCTCTACTCTGTTGATACCTGCATTTATCCCCTTGAGTGAAACATTTCCTTTCCCTGTGTGAGGTGAGCACACAAGCACCAGCCTGCAGCAGTAGTTCAAGTAACAAGAACACATACCAGGCTAGTGAGAGCTCCCCACCCACTAAGTTGTCCTTTCAAGAAACCCCTGTGGTAACTCCCCTGCCCCACCTTTTCTTTCTTGGTCTTCCTTTTTTAAACAGGCTAAGTCACTTGCTCAAGGGCACACAGGTGGTAGATGTCAGGTGCTGCACTCTAGGCTGAGATCTTGCACTGTCTCAGTCCATAACACTTTAGGGTTAGGTGAGGATCAAATATGATATAAGGAAAGCTGCTTGCTCAGAGCCTGGCATTTAGTAGGCACTCAGCAAATAATGGGCTTTGTTGTTTGCTGTCTAAGAAAATGGGAAGTGCTTTTCCCTGGCTTGTTTTGAGATTGGCAGGCAAGACTCCAGGGAAGACAGTGTTAGTAGGTGCTGGGATGGGAAAGGGCAGGAGAAGAGAAGTCAGCTGATTTTGAGCTTCTTGGGGTGACAGGTGTAGACAGAGACTCATAGCAGCTCTTGGCTGGGAAGGTAGCTATCCTGTTTTATAGATTAAAAACCTGGGGCTTGGAGATTAAGTGACTAATCCATAGTCAGATAGCACATACATAGGAGAGTTGAATTTTGAACCCAGTTCTCTTTGACTTTTATCTTGTGATGTGATTTGAGGCTGTTGGTCTGTGTAGTTGGAGACTCAAGCCTACTCCAGGTCACTTAGGTGAGCCCTGGGGTCTTTTGTCCTAACACAGACAAGACCTGCATGATTTAGATAATTTCCTAGTGGCTTCTCCAAGCCCCCAGGAAAAGTGTAGAATTTTTCACCACCTAAATCACCTTGGAGATATAGAAATGCATTTTAGAATTGTGTAGTCATTATCTTAAAAAGAAATAGTGAGGGGCTGTGGAGTGTGGGATGAATTTGCATGGAGATTACAGTGACTCTAAGTTACGGGTGCTTAGGACTGAGAGGAGCATTTCTCCTTGTTCTCGGTAAAACTGTAAATACTGATCTGATTTTTCAAAACCAAAAGTACAGTTCTTGTAGAGTTGAGTCTTTTCCATTGGAAATGCCTATTACTCTTCCGATACAAGAGGGAAAAATGGCTGGCAAATGTATTTATTACTGATTCTTTCCATGTATAGTACAATTCAGGGAGGGGAAATGTGCTGGAGAAAAAGTCATAAATATTTATATTTTAATCCAATTTCCTTTCAAAATGTTCCCAATTGTATTGAAAAATTGCATCAAATGCATTTAATTTAACTCTAGGATGTGAAAGCCGCCCAAGCAGAACTGGAAAAGGCCTTTGCAGGGACAGAAACCGAGAAGGCTCTTCGGCTGAGCTTGGAAAGCAAGCTCTCAGCGATGAGGAAGATGCACCAGGGGGACCTGGGAATGGCTGTGGCCCTGGAAGAGAAGGACAGGTCTGTATGTGATCCCCTGACACCTAGCACCTCATTATACAACCTGGACAAGCACCTCCCTCTCCTGCCTCCTGCCTCCTGCCTCCCTGCTCTTGTTGTTCCTGTCAGGATTCAGTGACTTACTGGAATGTAGCCAGTACAGCCAGATAGATAGAAAGCTGGGGAGCAGAGTGGGGTGGACAGAAGGAACAGAACAGTGACAGGGCAGAGACAGTCAGTGGACAAGTTTGTGTTGAGAAGGGCTACTTAGATCCTAACTCTAGCATTTAGTTTTGGCTGTAAGCTTCCTGGTAGCCAAAGTTGAAAAGGAAAAATCAAAGCCGTGAACCCAAGATTCACATTATCATGAGGTAAAACATGCCATGGATTCAGAAGCCCAGTTTTGGTTGGCATTATCCTAGGGTAATTTTTCGTGTGGTTCTTTCCAAAGGGAACAGTAAGTGGTAATGTCCCCATTGTAAATACTAGTGAATTTTGAGTGACTTGTTTCTATCATGTTTTTAATGCTGACTGGAGGCCGAAGTCAAACAGTGCAGTGGTCCAAAGAAGAGCAGTGAAGACCAAATACAGAGTTCTCCAGTGGTCCAGAACAAAATGTATCCTGCTGGGTTCAGAGAACTGGATGGACAAGAGTGCCACTGGGCCACCTTTAAGGAAACAGTTGACAAAGATGTTAGGAGAGAAGTTGAGATTTTTATGCTTACATTTTGATTTTCTTACCCTTTTTGTGGGCAGTGGAGTTAGCCTAGCTGAGACAACCACTGACTGAGATGGCCTTTCCACCGAAGAGCCAGGCTTGCTTGGGATTGGTCAGCATGTCTCCCTGAGGACTGCTGGGGTTCCTTCCCTTGGTCACTCAGTGCCCTGTGACGTGGTAGCTCCCCCATGTTGCTTAGTTCTTTTTTTTTTTTTTGAGATAGGATCTGAGGTAGCCCAGGCTGGCACAGACTCACTGTGTAGCAGAGGCTGGCCTTGAACTCCTGCTCCTCCTGCCTCTGCTTCCCAAATGCTGAGGTTCCAGGAGTGTCATCATGCCCAGCTGTTCAGGCTCTCATGGCCTAATGCTCATTGCTTTTACTTCTGACTCAGTGTCACCTTTTGGTATTTAGGTCTGCTTTTGTGTTTCCTGTAATGGGTTGGGAAATCAGCTGTGCAAACCTTTGGGATTCTCTATGAGAGAACAGTGAATCAGTGTTGAGGGAGAGCCCAGGGTCTCCATCTTTAAGCATCCTAGCTTCATGTTTTTCAAGCTTAGTTTTGTTCTGGAAATTGGCAGCATTGTACTTAGGAAACTGAGCTCTCCAAACTTCAGAGAATGGTTTTTATCTCAGTTTATCACTTTGAGACCTGGTATTCTTTTTGACTACATTGCCAGGAAGAGGTCTCTTCCTGGATAACACCGAGAGTCACCATACTGTAAGAAGTTCCACACAGATTGTGACTGTGCTCTCTCTCTCTCTCTCTCTCTCTCTCTCTCTCTCTCTCTCTCCTCTCTCTCTTTCTCTTTCTCGACAGTGAAGCCTTTAGAGGGCTAATGGACCTGTCTTCCTGGGAGAATTATACTGGGGAAATTGTAAGCTTCAGAAGTTAAGTCAAGGGTAGGGGCCCAGGAAATAGTTTAGCTTAAAGTAGAATATATAGTTAATATATAGTTGACCACAGGAAGGACATAGTGATCTTGGCACCTGTGAGGGGGATGAAAGAAAAAGGGGTTTGCAAGAAGTCCTGGGACAGAGCCCTGCAAGGGTCCTGGCATGTCTGGTATTAATTCATTGGTTCTATTGGATCATTGTGTCCTTAATTCAGCAAATATCTCTTGTGCATTTTTTGTTCCACACAGCAGTGATTACAGTAGAAGAGGGGATGATACAGACTGAGACCCTCTCTTTAATTCTCTGAACTGAAGCTTATCAAGGTGGAAAGTGGAAGATGTGGATGGCAGGAACAGAAAAGATAGGGGCTAATGGAACCATAATATTTACCAAGTTCACTGTAAAGGGGCTAGGAGAGGCTTCCCGATGGAGCAGGTGTCCCCTGATCTGTAAGAGCTAAGTTCTAGGACTCTCAGTGGATGCCTGACACCTGATTGTCTCCAGCTTTCACTTGGCTGTGTACTTCATTTTGCCCCCATAATACTTACATGCTGTGATAAGGTTTGACAAATTACATAACAAGAGATTAATAATAATACTTGAACTAAAGCAGACAATTATGACAATACATTTAGTAAAAGTATGTGGATGTGGTTTCTTTCTCCAAGTGTGCTCACCCTTTATCTGCTGATGGGAGATGATGTGTGGTTTGAAACGAGGTGCACAACATGGGCATCATGCTGTACTGTAAGGGCTACTGATCATGAGCATCATAAAACAGTCATTCTGATAGCCTTGGTGACTAAGTGACTAATGGGTGGGTAGCATATACAGTGTGGATACACAAGGCAGAAGATGATTCATGTGTCAGGTGGGATGGAGCTGGAAAATATGAGATTTCATTTTGCTTATCAGGATGGCATGCCATCTAGAATTGAGTAATTATTTATATTTCTAATTTTCCATTGTTTTGGAAGGATGTTGACTGCTGTCAACATATCTTAGCAGATAACTGAACTCAGAGCAAAGAAAACCATGAATAAGGATGCACTGGTTTGACAAAGACAGGGACCTAAGGGTGTTCTAGGAGTTGGGAACTGTGTGTGTGAAAGTCCTGAGGCAAAAGGGAGGGACTCACAGTAGTACCTGAGAGCTGTATGTGGAAAGGAATAAGGAAGAGGGGGAGGAGAGGAAGACTGGGAGGTCACCTGGGTGTTGTGGAGGAATCTGCATTTTATCTCAAGAGTATGGGAGAAGCCTTTTAAGAGTTGGGGTGGTCGGGCGTGGTGGGGCATGCCTTTAATCTGAGTACTCCGGAAGGCAGAGGCAGGAGGATCTCTGTGAGTTCAAGGCCAGCCTGGTCTACATAGTGAGTTCCAGGACAGCTGGGGCTACAGGGAGACCTTGTCTCAAAAAGACCAAAAACAAAACAAAACAAAACAAACAAACAAAAAAACCAACCAACCAAACGAAAAAAAAACAAAAAACAAAAAACAAGAGTTGGGGTAAAGCTTGGGGAATGACAGATGAAATTTAAATTTAAAGCAATCCCTCTGCCTGCCTTGGGGATGGATTGTCGTAACACTGATGTAGAAACCTAGACAGGAAGTGATGGTGATGAAGACTGAAGGCCAGGAGTGGGAATGGAAGCAAACACACGATCCTGTGGGCACAGTAGTCTGGAAGGGCTCAGCAGCTCCAGGGAGCTGCAGTGCTGCTGCTCTCAGCTTCGAGAATGAGCAGCCAGCAGCGGTGGTGCCTTGGCTGAGTCTGGAAGATCGGGAGGAAAGGGTGTCGAGGCAAGAGGGAAAGTGATGCTTTCAGTCAGGCCAGGGGTGGGGGGAATCTGTGAGCATCTTGACTGTCGGATGGCGGGTGTAGTAGGTATCTAGACTAGGACTGGAATTGTAGGAAGAGAAAATTCATGCCTTTAGCAGCTGCTGAGCATGCCTAGGGCATGCACGCAGGGACTCAGAGACAAAGGTAGTGCTGCTTCTGTGGCCTTCACCTTGTGAGAGTGGACAGATACATCCCAGTGTGTGCTGTGCAGAAGTGAATTTGTGGCTCTGTCCTTGAGCATGGGACTTCACTAGGCGGGATCCTGGCGGTTGCCTCTGCAGAGGGGGTGGTTTGTGCAAAGTAACAGAGCCTGCATAATTCGTGAATGAAGTCCGCACATGTGAATTATCTGTGTGTGCTGCATGAACTTGGTTTCCTGTCTGTTTTGGAAGAGGGCATTTGGGAGGGTATGCATAGACTGGTCTAGGTGGTGGGTTCTCCATAGATGTGGGTGAGCAGGTTGGGGTCTTGCTGAAGGCTGTACCTCCCTGGGTGTGTGCACAGGCCTAGCTAGAGAGGCGTAGAAACTTGTTTTGTCAGGTCTACAAATGTTTCAGTCTTAGAGATGGCAGTATCCAGCTGCATTCCCAGAGACCAGCAGCCAGCTGCCACTTAGATTTCTTCTTAGGGCGTTGCCATCTGGTAAATCTCTAGGCACTAAAGGCCATCATTCTGGTCCTTTAGCTTATGCTTAAGTCAACATCAGAGGTTGGCCTAGCACTGCAGCAGGAGCTGTCAGTTATGTTCAGGTGATGAGGATCTGCCACACAGAGTGACCTGCTGTTGAGCAGGGTGAGCTGCTGACCCTCACTTGGATGGGTAGTCCCTCACTTGGATAGTATTCCCTCTTTCTTGTGGAAGCTCATTCACTTGGGTGGATCCTCCATCACTTGGGGTCGGGGGTGCTCCCAGTGTCTTCTGGGTTCCCGCCACCTTCTTCAAAGATGTATTTCTGTTGTTTATTTCCTTCATTCTGGCCTTTGATCTGCTCTGTTTTTTGAAGGCAGTCATGTTGGGGAGTCTTGCAGGTTGACTCTGGCCAATAGAATATTTTTTGTTTGGGCTAAACAATATTTTTAAAATTTTGAGTTAGTTGCTAGCATTTAAAACGTTGAATTTTATGTGAGAGTCTGAATTCCATCTCCTCTTGAAAACCTGAAGATGCAGCACTGTGGGTGCCATCTTGGTGGATCAGGCAAGCTGCTCCCTGCTGATGGGCTGGGGCTTTGGTGGGCCTTAGTTACCCTGCTCTGGCTCACCCCTCTTTCCATTTTATGAGTGCATTTGGTGACTTTGAGCCTTGTATTTGATTGTTGAAGATTTTTGAGCTGAGCCTCTAGAGGGCAGTATTGCACCTCCCTCCAAGTTTCTGGGGCACCACACAGGTCCCACTGGTACCATCCTGCTAGGCTTTTGATTCCTGCTAGGCATCAGATTCCTGCTAGGCATCAGATTCCTGCTAGGCATCAGATTCCTGCTAGGCATCAGATTCCTGCTAGGCATCAGATTCCTGCTAGGCATCAGATTCCTGCTAGGCATCAGATTCCTGCTAGGCATCAGATTCCTGCTAGGCATCAGATTCCTGCTAGGCATCAGATTCCTGCTAGGCATCAGATTCCTGCTAGGCATCTCTGTTGCTTGTATCACCCTCTGGACTTTGCCAAGGAAGCCCTGAGCTTCATGAGGGCAGCTCTCCCAGACCTCCAGCCTCTGATGAAACTGAATTACTTTCTAGGCTTAGCTACAGAAGGGCTCTTTGGAGAGTCTTCTGACAAAATGCTCAGTAGGTAAAGTGCCTGCCACATAAGCATGAAGACCTAAGTTCCTATTACCAACACCCATGTAAAAGCTGGATATAGTAGTGCACATCCCCTACGCTGGAAGGCAAAGAGAAGTGGGTCCTTGGGGCCTGCTGTTCCTGGCCACTCCAGCTAATGCACGAACTTCAGGTTCAGTGAGAGATCATGTCTCTAGGAGTAAGGTGGAGAAGCCAATGAGGAAGACATCTGGACATCAAGCTCTGATCTCATCTCACACCTGCATGGGTGAATACACACGTGTACAGACACACACACACGGGTGAGCACACATGTGTACACACGCATGCAGTGGCTGAGCACATGTGTACACACACACACTTGTATACATACACATACACAGGTGAGCACACATTTGTACATGCACACACACAAACAGGTAATAAGTATAGTAACTGTCCTTTGCTGAGTTCAGCTGTATACCAGAGGGTGTATTATATAGAGTTGTTTTAAGTAGCTCATCTCCAATCTGTGTGAGCAAGTTGAGGGGCAGCATGGTCACTGAGCAGTCTGGATGTCTTGTCCTGCAGTTTGGCCTTGACCTTTTTCCATACCCAGCAGAGCTACTTCTGATTGTGTTTGCTTACCTTCAGGGATAGATTTTTTCTCGAGAGAGGGTTTCTTTGTCAAAAATTAGTAATCTGCTGCTATTGGTGGGAGCTGTTGAAGGTCTTGAGCAGGTGTGTGACTTGACCAGATCTTAGCCTGGCAGCTCACAGCTGGATCCTTGGGCCAGGTCAGAGACAAGAGGACTTGTTAACGTCACATAAATTCTGTCCCTTGATCTTCGACCTGCAGAATGTGGTTCTACTTATGTTTAGTCATTGGGCACATTTATTTTGAAACTGCCTGGTGCCATTTCCTACCTCCTGCTCCACTGAGTTAAGAGAGCAGCTCAGAATTAATATTTAAATTTTGTTCTCTTTTAGACTGATTGAGGAGTTGAAGCTGTCTTTGAAGAGCAAAGAAGCTTTAATTCAGTGCCTTGAAGAGGAGAAATCTCAGATGGCATCTGATGATAACGTGTCATCTGGAGAACTCCGAGGACTCTCTGCCACTCAGAGAGAAGAAAAGGAGAGAGACATTGAGGTGAGGCGACAGGGCACGGAGGGGGCTGTCGCACATCAGGCTGCTCCATGAGAAATGGAACGCCGATCCGTCTGCGGGTTTTTCACAGGGCCTTCCAAGCATGAGTTCCCCGTCAGTCCAGGAATCGCAGAAACCACTTTTGTCAGGCCCTGCCTTTTCCCCCTTAGCTGCTCTGTCCCATAGGTACACACTGCACCTCTGTTTCACCTTGTGCTAATTTGTTGTTGCCTGGGAACTTCCTTTCTTTCTTGGGGCTTTCTTAGGGTAAAATTGTGGTGCATTGTTCATGTCCATTTTTCCTTTGTGGTTAGAGGCAGGCTTGAGGCCATCTTTGGTGTGAAACTTTAGAGGTATCCGGGAAAGGGAACTGACTTCCCGACAGCCTATGAGACCTGTTCAGGCCTCCCGGCCTCTACCAACCAGAGATTGAGATCCCCTTACTGAGTTTGGACCAGGCTCAGAGCAGTCACATTTCTCTAGGCCCCAAGAAGTGGGTTGCTAGTAGCTGGTCCCAAATCTCCTGGACCCCTCCTCACTCTTGTAGCCTCTAAGCCAAACTATCTGGGCCATCCCTTCCTCCTCGAGCAAGGGTGGTTGCTGCATGGGGTCTGTTCACATCAGGGCATATTCTGGAAGCCCAAGAATGGTCATGATTTCTTTATGGAGCGAGGTCCTTGTCCTTGTCACAATAATGGATTCTTCCACCTCACCAGTTAGTTTTCATCTGGAATGGGCCATTGGTACTTCTCCTCCTGTTTAGCCTCCTTTCAATCCCCAGCCCCTGTCCTCGAGCGGGCCCTTTAAATTTTGTTCTAAAGCACCTTTTTTACTCTATGTGAGCATCTGTCTTCACACCTTTCTTACTCACACCAGGTGTGGGGCCCTGGGTGGGCAGAAGAGGGGACACTGTGTTCCTGAGTTCTACAGCGGTGGGGGAAGTGGGGAAATAGGTGCCCCTTCTAATTACTGTGGGGGAGCCTGGCTGGTCCTTCCGCTTACCTCTCAATGCCTTTTCATAGGCTGAGGAAAGGGGGTGTCAGAAGGAGAGAACTCACTTTGAAGAGAGGATCCAGGTATGTTGAGTCAATTAAAACACTTATTGAAGACTCACTCTGTTCTTGCCTTTCATTTGGTTTTGAGTGCAGCAGATAATTCTTGACAGTAGCTATGATGGATCAAATGCTGCTGAGTGCCAGTTATGCTGAAAGCACAGTAGAAGGAGTTCCTCAGTTTTTGCAGTAACAGTGAGGCAGACATTCCCATTGTGCAGATGTGGTACCTGAGGTCCAGAAAGGTGAAGGCACTTACCACAGTCACATGCAGCTGGGAGGGAGGGGATCTCACTGTCTGATTCCAGAGTTGAGCTCCCAGGGCCCTTAGTCACAACAGCCAGAATTTGTGCAGTGCCTGCCAGCCTAGAGCAGGCTCTCACATCCATTATTGCATCTGATCCTACGGCAGCCCAGGAGAGAGGCAGCAGTGATTATCTTAAGACATGAACTCAGACTATAAACGTAAGGCTCAGTCTCCATCAAACCAAATTCTCCGCTAGCTTTTGTAGCATTAAGAAATGAAATTAATGATCTGTTATTTCCCCCCAAATAACCTGGTGCAGTTTCAAAGACTCTGATGTGACTGTATTCAAATTTTAGAAGGTTCTTCCCATAGGAATAGCTGTCATCGTCTCAACCCATCTGATCCCCTTCCCTTCACCCGGCCCTGGAGCCGTGAGCAGGAACATAGCAACTTGGAGCTGATGCCATTGCGTTCAGCTCGACTTGGAAACATTAATCACAGGTTGACAGGAATAGGATAGAATAACTGCATTTGAGTGTGCTCTTAAAGATATATTTACGGTGCATTTTGGTTGGAACACATCAACTTCGTGAATCTTTTTCTAATCTAATTTAGGCACTTCAGGAGGACCTGAGAGAGAAGGAAAGAGAAATTGCTACAGAGAAGAAAAATAGCTTAAAGAGGGATAAAGCCATTCAGGGCCTAACCATGGCATTAAAATCAAAGGAAAAAGAGGTATGTTTGAGACACTTGAAGTGGGATTTTTCTTTATTAGTTTCTGTGACTGGCCTGTCCTACCGTGGAGTTTTAGCTCTAGATAAAAAGTTGGTAAGAGGGGAAGAAAGGTTGGGGGGTGCTGGAGCGATGGCTCAGCAGTTAAGAACACCGACTACTCTTGCAGAGGAGCCGGGTTCGGTTCCCAGCACTCACATGGCGCCTAACAACCAAATGTAACTCCAGTTTCAGGGCATCTGACATCTTCTGGCCTCCACCTGTATCTCACACCTGGATGCATTTACATACATGCAGGCACAACCCTCACACACATTAAAAAAAAAGTTTTTAAGAGAGCTAAGATAATACAGAAAGTGGGGAAAGGATCCTTTAGTCAACCAAAAATTCTTGTGGGATAGCTTATCCAGTGCTGCTCAAAAAATAAATGTGAATAAAACATTTAAACATTTCTAATAGCCATGTTAAAAGAAATAAGTAAATTAATTTTAATAGCACATGCAAACATTACATTCAACATGTAATCAGCAAAACAAAAGTAATGATGAGCTATTAAGCATTTTCTCAGTTGAGACTTAACACATTCATTTGGCTAGTGACTACCCTAATGGACAGTGTAGATTGAATCTTTTGAAGGGCAACTGATAATTGAGATGAAGGAGTTTGGGAGCAAGGCTCTGGCTGTGAAGCCAAGACCCACCTGGCTTGTTGACTTTGAGATCTAAGGTGGGGACTGACGACACTTTTCTTGTCACTAGTTGTTACAGCAGTGTGTTATAGCTCAGTGACTAAGGCCCTGACTCATCGAAGACACCCAGTTCTACTTGAAAGTGTGATGGGCAAGACAGAGCCATAGTTGTGTGATTCAGGAAGTGCAAGGGCTAGGGAGGCAGAGGGAAGAGGCTCTGGTACCAGTCGGAGTGGTTGTGGGGAGTGGAGTGGTGCTTAGAGGAGAAGCTGCTGAGCTGAGTTCTAAAGAATAAGACTAAGTAAGGCTGGGAAGAAAGGCTCAGATGGGCAGGCTGTTTGGATATAAAGAGAACAATAGTCAAAGCTTATGGTGTGTGGCACCATAAATGGTTTGTGGTTACCAGGGAACAAAATGCAAAATTTAAATGAGACACAGACTAGGGTCCTATAGACCCTTCCAAGACTGTGCTCCCAGTTGACCCAGGGACCTCTTACTAGAATCCCCTTCTTGAAGGCCTACTTCCCAACTTTGCCACATAGATGACCAGGCTTTGGGCACCTGGACATATGCAGGACATACTCTAAACTGTATGTAGACCATGGCAATAGGTAAGGGAACTAAATCTCAGAGAAGTGAAGCCACCAGCCAGCAAAGGGCAGAACCGGAAACCCCACTCAGAGCTTTTGTCTCCGTAAAGCACTGTGTGATCAGGGAAAAGCAGGCGGACTGTGTAGGAAGGAGAGCTGAGCCATGTATTTGACTGCCGTTTACTTTTTTCCTCAGGTTGAAGAACTTAACTCTGAAATTAAAGACCTTAATGCTGCCTTTGCCAAAGCCAGAGTGGGCCCCCAGAAAACGCAGGCTCTGAAATTCCAGGTAAGGGTTCTCTTAGTTTTAAGTGATTCTCTCTTGGATCTTTATTCCAGGTGAGGCCCAGACTTTGCAGCTGAAGGAAACTTGGATGATTTTATTAAGAACTGTGGGTGGCCTTTAATGGTAGAATCAGAGGTCTGATTAAAGGGAGATTCTCCACCGGTTTTGGGAGCTTCTCTAGCTTCAGAGTATTGATGACGATGACAACCACTCTCTTAGTTGACATGCTGAGTTTACTCTGGTCCAGCATGTAGACTTTCTCATTTAATCCTCATCCTCATAGCCCTTGGGGAGGGTAATTACCGTCTCCCTTATTTGTGAGGTTTTTGTCTTTGAGGTTGTGTAGTTTATTCACTGTCACACAGCTAGTAAGTGGCTGGGTCAGGATTTGAATTCAGCAATTGCAACTAGCAGCCAGCATTTGTTGAACACATACTTTGTGCTTAGCCCTGCTCCCTGCTCCATGTCTCCTTTTTCTGTGCAACACTTGGAAGTAGGACTGTTCATACCCTCGTTTTACTGCTAAGGACATCCAGGTTGAGAAATGTGACTGGCTGAGTTCACCAAACTGGTAAGTAACAGAGCCAGGATTTGAAATCCCCAGGGCTTAAGGCACTGCATAGCCTGGCACCCATGCCTTCTCTGCCCTGGCTGCCTCCTCCTCCTGTTGCTTCTGGATTTGCGTTCTAGGCCTTCCTGCTTTGGACCTCCTGCTCGCTCTTGGCTTCCAGCATCGTACTTCAGTGGTACCTAGCGATCATCCTTTTTGTCATCCCTGTCTTTTCCAAATTTCAGTTTTGTGCTTTTAATTATTTCAGCATTTTCTCCCTGTTTGTTATTTACCTGTACTGTTTATGTAAGCCTATTACTAGTATTGAATCAGTAAAGTTCCATCATCAAATTAAGCCATACTCCCTGAAGCCCTCCTCCCACCCTGTACCAGGGCTGCTTCGGTGGTAAATAGAAGTTAAATCTGATTTAAGACCATTTGACTTCTAAGATTCATGGTCCATGCCTTATCTTTTGCAGAGCTTTGGCTCACAATGAAAATAATTGCAGTAATTTGGTTTAGATCATGAGATGCTAGCAGCATAGACAGATCGCTGCTTTTGGGATCACAGACTTGCCTTCTTCCACTGTTTTGACAGTAGTTGATGAAATAGAGCTGAGATTACATTTTACATTTTACCTCTGTGCTTAGAAACTAACATGCTTTAAAGGCCAAATTCTTTGGAAAACCATCAATATTTTCCATTTCTTAAGAAAAAAAAATATGTTGGCAGTTGATAGCCAGAGACCAGACATCCTTAGGAGCCTTGGGATGCTGGGAAAGTAGGCAGACTTGTAAACTTGACTGTTACCCAGATACTTGATACATACTTATTAATTTAATAATCCTTACTCATGGTCTAAGCAAACAGGGTGAGGTCTTGGAATGGCATTGTGGCTGGTTTTTCTGTCCACAGTTCACAGATCAGGAGTTGCAGTGACTTCTCGAGTTGTGTGTCAGATGCTTTGCCAAAGAGGTGAGCTGGGTGTGGTGGTGCACGCCTTTAGTCTCAGCACTGGGGAGGCAGAGGCAGGCGGATCTCTGTGAGATCAAGGGCAGCCTGATCTACATAGTTCCAGGCCAGCTGGGGCTACAGGGAGACCCTGTCTCAAAAAGACCAAAACAACAACAACAACAACAACAACAAACCAAACTAACAGGCGATGAGTTGTGACTGTCGGAGACTTTTTGACAGGACTAGAGCTCAGGCCTGCCTCCAATGCCTCTTTTCTCTCTATTGCTCTGGCTGTGGTGAGTGAATGTGCATGATGTGTTTAGATGAGTGCTTCATTTGAGGTTTATGTGGTTTCCATGTTGCATAGACTTACAAGTGCATTTCTTTAATGTTACCAGCACCTTTTGGGCTGTGGTGTGATTTGAACTAATTGAAGCCTGAGTAAATAAGCCAGAGGGGACTGGAGAGATGGTTCAGTGGTTAAGAGCACGCTCCCAGAGGAAGTTCAGTTCCCAGCACCCACATTGTGTGGCTCACAACTGCTTGTAACTCTAGCTCTAGGGTATCTGATGGCCTCTTTTGGCCTCTGAGGGCACTTGCACTCACATGCATATGCCCACATGTAGACGTGTGTATGTACATAATTACAAATAAAATAGATCTTAAAGCCAAAGGTCATAGGGTTGACTTGATATTGAGCTTGACACAGAAGCAACAGCAGGTGATATTTAAATTCTTGGAGTGCCTGCCACAGTACAGACAGTTAGAGATGTGACTTTTCATCACAGGTGTGACTGTGTACAGGTTGCGGTGTGGGCCAGCTTGTGCTCCTCATGCCTATTCAAAGTTATTTCCGAATTGGAAGTGGTTTCCCCCTTTCATGTATAAAAGTAAAAACATTCACTGAAAGAAAATTTCAAAGTACTTTCTGTGGTTTTTCTAAGCCACATTATGGTGATACCTGAAGAAAGAAATAGCATGACTCTAAGCATTGGTTTTAAGGCCTGGAGTGGATGCAGACTCAGAACTTGTTCCTTAAGATGTCTCACAGAACTGTGCTCTCCAGCCAGGCTTCTTTCATTGAAATAGTATCTCCAGCATGAATTGGGGAAGCAGAAGCTAGGATCCACTCATATCAGAGAATCTTGCCCTTTGACTCCAGGCCTAAAATACTACACACAGTTCAGACTTCTCAATTTTTCTCACTGTTTTCAATGAGAAAAACATGCTGCTTCTAGTGCTTTGAATGTTCCTCACATACACTCATGTTCATTCACTATCTTGGGTGGAGAGTGAGGTGTGTCCTGAGGGATTAAGGTCAGGTGCCTAGGTCACAAGAGGAGGAGATGGCTCTGTGAGCTTGTTTACATTGTAGCTTTTTGGTAGCAAGTTTAGGTAAAAGTCTTTAGTCCAGATTATGTCCATATTGTAAAAGTCATTCCTATAACTTTTATATTTAAAAGAGCAAAAAGAGGCTGATAAGAATTACCAGTAGCTAATGTTGGATGAATTGGGTGAATGTTCCTACCAGGCCTATGTGCTGAAATTGAGACTTCCAGTTTGTTTCACTATTGGGAGATAGTGGAGCTGTTAGGAAGTGGGCCAGGTAGGAGGAACGAGGGTCCCTGGGAGTGTGCTTACCTAGGAATATTGGAACCACAATGCAGTTTTCTTTTTACTTAAATTAAAAAATATTTTTGGAATTTCATACATGAGTACTGTATTTATATAATTTCTACCAGTTCTTCTCCATTCAGTGCCTCTTACATTCTTCCTCCCTCTCAGTTTCGTGGCCTGTTCTTTATTTTATGTATATATATGTGTGGATATGCATGTGTGTGTGTGTGTATACACACACAAAACCTACTGAGTCTGTTTAGTGGTGCTTGTGTGTACATGTATTTAGGGCTGACCTATCAGGGTGCATCCCTGGAGGAAGCTGATTCTCTTTCAACAGCCATTGATTGCTATAGCTCTTCATCTAGAGATGCAGCCCTATGAAATTTCCCCATCCAGGGAATAGTTGGCATGTCAACTAGTGGTGTCATTTTGCCGATCTTGCTCAGGCAACCCTTTTGTGATTTCATGGATGCAGCTTCCCTGTAGTGTCTAGAAAACACGATGTAGCAGCAGGTAACCCTGGTCCTCCCCTGAGCCATAGGTGTAGGGGTTGCATTGCAAATGTATCAGTTGGGGCTGGGCACTCCGTGGTCACTTATTCCCTGCATTTTGACCAGCTATGGATCTCTGTGATTGTTTCCATCTGTTCCAAAATGAAGCTTCTTTGCTGAGGGGCAAGAACTACACTTATCTGTGGGTATAAGGATAAGCATTTAGAACAGTTAGAAGATAAATGGTTTAGGATCGTGGCAGTAGTCATTTCTCCCCTAGGGCCTGTGACCTCTTCAGCTGTGGGTATTTGGCTAGGTTTATGCTACCCAGACACGAATTCCCTCCTATTGAGCTGGCCTTAAGTTCGATTAGACAGTTGTTCATTACCCCCAAGATAAAAGTGCCACTCTTGCACCATTGGGGATATATTGCTGGACCAGTTGTTGTGGTTTGTAAGCTTTCCAGCTGGGTAGACTTACCATTGCTTTTCTCCCTTGGCAGTCTGCATAGCACCTTTTTTTTTTCATTTCATTATTTTTATTTTATGTGTATGTGTGTGACTGCATGTATGTAAGTGCACCACAAGCTTGTAATACCCACGCAAGTCAGAAGGGGTTGGATCCCCTGGAACTGGAGTTACGAGTGGTTGTTATCTGCCATGTGGGTGCTGGGAACTGAACCTAGATCCTCTGCAAGAGCAGCCAGTGCTCTTAACTGCTGAGCCACCTCTCTAGCCTCCACAGCACCTTCCAATACTATGTGAGCTAGTCTTTAGGGAGGAGGTTTCCAGGTCAGTTCCAGTTTCTCCAAGTCCTGTGTCCAAAGCGTGTTGTGTGTTCAGCAGTAGGGTCTTACCTTCAAATTTGGGGAGGCAACCAAGGGCATTGGCAATAGCCTGTGTTGTTTTGAGAACCTCTTGGACTTCCCTGACCAACAGCTCGAACGGAGGTTCCCTTGCCTGGCACTGGGGTTTTGGTAGTCTGTTTCTTGGGTGGAGCTTTATCTTTGATCTTTTCTCAACTTACCTCAGTACGTTTTGTGCTTAATTATGACTACATTATTTAAAAATACAAGTTTTGGAATTGAGATGCTTTCTCACATGCAGATTTACTGACTGATGTTTCATTTGTCTTCGCTTTTTATCTGTTTCTCCTACATTTATTGTCTTTTTCTAATTTTCTATTTTCATACTCATTTTATTAAAAATGTGATTTATTGGGGCTGGAGAGATGGCTCAGCTGATAAGAACACTTGCTGCTCTTCCAGAGGACCCAGGTTAAATTCCTAGCACTCACATGGCAGCTAACAGCCGCCTGTAATTCCACTTCCAGGGGATCCAACACCTTCTTCTGACCTCTTCAGGCACTGCGTACATGTGGTACCCTT